TATATCTGTTAAAATGAGATGTCAGTGTTATTTTCATTTTTGCATAATTTAGGCAACAATTTATCCATTGAAAATTATGAAATTATAATTTATGAAAAAATTTTGGCAATACTAGAAAAACTCAATAAAATATTCAAATTTTCTTTGTTAGTCATATTCATTGAAACATATTTGAAAGAGAGGTTGCTTCCGATAGATAGACAGATAGATACTGTGCAATATGTTGTATTTTCTTTTGTGAGAGACCAGAAGTAAGGGCAAGCTCAAGGGCTGGGTTAGGCGGCACACATGCTAGCTATGCCACTGCACTCACACACAAGTTTGGTTAAAGACCAATAGAAATTCAAGATAAAAAAAAAAAAAAAAAAACAAAAAAAAAACTTTTGGATATTTTGGACTATTTTCCAATACAAGTGTAAATTTTCCAATATCTGAATACTTTTGGCTTTCATAAGCCATTATTAATAAGTTTCTTGTTTTTTTTATGTTATGTCAGTTTTCAAATAAAGCCTAAACCACTCATTGAACAAGAAAATGGTACAAAATATAAAAAAAAAATAAAATTTAAGAATTTTTGTCAGTCTTTAATCAAACAGTTATAAACAAAAAATTGCTGCCCCAACACACCTGATGTATATCTCCTGTATATCCAAATCTGGAAAATTTTAAATATAAAAAGGTATATATTGCTGTTAGGAACTAACCAAAAAACATGTTCCAAATTGTTAATGTGTCTTCCAGGATAAAGAGGACTCAGGGTAGTAAAAAAAAAAAAAAAAAAAAAAACTAGAGAAATACCAGGACCTCACCTGGGAACTAAAGCTGTGTAATATGAAGGTAAGCACTGTGCACATAATAAATTGTGAACTTGAAACAGTCATAACTCTAGAAGATTGAAGGATAGATTTGAAAATAGATTTCATAGATGATGGCAGTGTTAAAGTGAGCAAAAATATTGAAAAAGATGCTGGAGATCTGAGAAAACTTGCTATCACTCAACAGCCAGCAAATACCAAGCATCTGATGTGTACATGTATGAAATTAATAAAACTCATATATGGCAATAGTTAGTAGATTAGGCATTGCTAGAGTTTGACCTCACTGGACTTTCTCTAAAAGCAGTCTTGTGCCAAATTGGCTTTATCCGTCACATACACTAAGGGACATCCAATGACCAAGCCAATGTATCAGCTCAGTGTCAAAATTAATTCTTACGGAAGAAATAAATAATGCAAGAAAACTGACTAAATCTGAATTAATCTAATTTATAAATGTTATATGAAGTCTATGTATATACTGAGTGTAACAGCAAAATGTCCAAATTGTGTAAAAGTAAAATTGCTCATTTGTTAAATTAAGCTTTGAACCATTGTATGATAGAAATGATACAAAGATGTCTACTGGAATTCTCCAAGGTTCTTATAACCCTATTGGACTCTACTTTGAGCAATAAGAATGTATAATTACTCTCCAAGCTTAACAGAAGAATCGTGGTGAAATCGATCATAAAGGAAAATGACATGTTCATCATTAATTAATAATAGCTAAGGATCGAAAGCTCATGAAGGACAGAAATTAAGTTAATATATATATATATATATATATATATATATATATATATATTATATATTCCAGGATCATTTTCGAACTTATTCAAGTTACTGTACTTGAGTGACAAAGGGCTTAACAGGTTTCACCTACGATTTCACTTTCAAGTCTTTTTTTCCCTGCTCTTTGGGCTGTCATTGCTGAAATTCCTCTCTTATATGCCAACCTTATGGATTGAGTTGGATCTTTTCTAATTGATCTCTTTAGCTATAAGTTGAAATGATGATCCCTCTTCCTGTTGTGACCTTCTGATTCAATTTTCCTCCCCACTGTTCCCTCTTTTTAAAACTTATTCTCTTTTCCCTTGATAATTCTTGAATGCACTTTGAAGATGGAAGCCAGGGTATGAATGTTGGTACCATTACTGAAGGCTTGAATGATATTATTCCTTTCACTATTGCTCAGTTGAGAAGACAGTGGGGGTAACACAAAATAATTTTAACCGGTTTTCTTTCTAGCAGAATAACTTAGAGTTTTTTCAGTGATTCTTATGACAAATGGTGTCAAGATAGCTAAACGTTTTATCTGAAAACCAGGAAAAAAGAAACTCAGTTCAGTGTTTTTTTTTTTTTTAGATATTAAACATTTTGTGGGATGGACATTTATGCTGTTACACCCAGTATATAACTCAAGTCATGTTCTTAAATAATCTTGTCAGACATTTTCATATTGATGCCATGCATGGTGTCAATATCTAAACTGTCAGATGTATGCAATCATTTTCTCAGATTGATGGTTAAAAATGGCTTTGAGTGAGCAAAGCATGTACATCTCAGTGAGGACTATCCCTTTTGAAACCTTGTAGACTGGCATTACAGAATCACAAACAAAGAACCGATTCAAATAACAGAAAGCACATCACTTGAGAACTTGCAGCAGCAACTAAAATGGATATCACATGCAACTCAGAGAGAAAATAATGACAATCAAAATACTGACATTCCACACTACTTCAAACAAAAGGCAAGAAAGGAAGCCTCTATCAATATCAGAAAGAGCAATTTCTGGAGTTGAAAAACTTATTTTCCTGAAACATTGTTTTAAGAAAAATATTTTATAAATTACAAGTGAAAGCAGCATTCGCTGCTCTGTCAATGAATGCTGAGTGTTTCCTTATAAGAAAACAGCTAATATTTGTTTAACTGAAATTGTAAAAAAAAAAAAAATACCGCTGAATCAATTCAACTGCTTTCCACTGAAAAGTAAAAATGAAAATGTCAAAAATATAGAAATTAAGCAAAAACATCAGAAATTGTCATCAGTGTGAGTTAGAACATTTCAAAATGCAACAGATTAAAAAGAAAAAAAAAATTACTTTTTAAAATTGTTTTTTTCAAAATGATTTATAGATTTATTGAAATTTTATTAAAATTATGCTTCATTACTACTTCAGATATGAAGATTATAACACAATTACCTTTGTCAAATTACTAACATATTTCAACTATTGCTTCTCAATTTTTCATTGATAATTAAAAAAAAAAAAAAAAAAAAAAAGAACTGATACACTTTGATCTTAGTCATTGACTGAAAAGTCAAGGGGAAAATTTAATTTCTCTATTTTCTAGTTTAACAGCAGATCAAATAAAAATTTTAAAAAATCTTATTTAATTGAATGATAGCATTCCTAGTAAATAGCTAAAACCTGCAGCAAATGTGTCGAATAAACACTTCAAAGCACAAGACAATCAGACTAAATTTTCTATTATTATAATAGCAATTCAGCTAATCAAAAGTTACCCAGTTTTCTAGAGAATGCATTTGTTTATTTCAGGCTAAGCTTAAAGTATTTGGGAAGAAACTCCATTTTGTTCTGTTACCATCATAAGCTGCTTTTATATCTGCCATTTTTAGAACAGGTTTTCTGAATTGGTTATTTATCCATAATTAGCAAAAATATAGCACAGTTATGATATTAGCAGACCCATTTAATTTTCATTTTAATATTTTCATAAAATAGAAGGAAAAATAGTTTCTGTTTATAGAATAATCAACAGTAAAATACCAACTTTTTGGAGAATGTTGGGGTTTGATTTTTTTTTTTTTTTTTTTTTTTTTTTTTTTTACACTAGTTCTTGAAGAATGCTGAATATCAAAATCATATTTTTTGGATTTATAGAAAAAAAAAAAAGAAGTTGTTTAGAGAATTTAAATGTAAAATAATAAAAAAGTGAAACTTCTTTTTTAAAGCATTTCATTCTATTATTTTCCTCTTTCACAAATTAAAAAAAAAACCACAAAAATATAAAAAGAAAAATACTATTTCACTAAATAATATAAAATTTATAATTTGTTTTTTTCTATCAAGTTTGTATTTTTCATCTTATAATTGTCGTTCTTTTCACATAGTGAGAGAGAGAGAGATACAGAAAGAAAAGAAATCAAATTGTTTTAATTACCAGATTCATTTTTTTTGTTCTTTAATTTTTCAAATAAAATTGTCAGAATTAGAAACAAAAATATAAGTCAAAATTTTTAAATATCTGGCTTCGTTTTTTTTCTTTGCAAAGCACAAAACATTTGTTAAAAAAATCACAGATAAAGAAACAAAAAAAACAGCGTTTCTTAAGACTGGCTCATTCATGTGTGTGATGATAATCAGTCAGAGTGATAATTTATCTCAAGCGATTGTGTGATGTAAATAATCACAAATGAAAGGGGAGGGAATTATAGCTACATTGAAATTCCCTATAGCAATGTTTATTTTTGGGCGGAGTCAAAAGCATCTAGCATTTCCATATATCATCTGAAATTATGAATAGAAGCATGGACACATGATTTTTATATATATATATATATGCATTCATTCATTAGATAAGTTTAAAATAAAGAATAATTCTGAAAACATACTAATGGCCATCAATATTCCATCAACAAGTAATTTTGTTGATTATTTTACATGTTTATATCTTGATATAAATAAACATTTTAATATTAACAAACTACAATTATTAATTAGATATTGGAAAAAACTAGCATGTTCTTAGAATTACATTACTCTAATTATTCAGATAAACAAGAATGCATATATACATATATATATATATATATATATATATATATATATGTGTGTGTGTGTGTGTGCATGTATGTATGTGAAAGTTGAATAAACCAGTCAAAGAAAAGTTTGTGATACTTATCAATAATAAATTGAAATTTTTCTTCAAATGAGCAAATTTCAAAATTTACAAGAAATTAAAAAAAAGATTAAAAAAAAAGAAAGAAAAATTGTGTAATAGGTAAAAAAAATTATAAAGTGGGAAAAAATTTAATTTAAAACTCCACATAAGTTCCCTTTACCATCATCAAAGTATCCCTCTCCCCACTCTTTGTTCGTTTTTTAAATTAATCCATCCCCCCCAACTCTTTTCAACATGGTCCACCTCCATCATTTAGTCAGATTCATCACAATCATGCTTGCGCCATGAAGCAGTTTGCTCAACGTCTGATGTCACGACTAGCAGAAGCTCCTTCTCTCGACTCTCGAGTTGTTCGCTAAGATAACTGAGCAGCTGCTGCTCATGGCCAATCAGTTCCGGAGCGTCCAACTTGGAGTCCAGATTATAATAGAGGTCATCAATCTTGTTGATGGCAATCCAGTGCTTTCGTTTAAAAGGTAAGCGAAGAAGTCCCCACTTGTAATCAGTTGGGATGTTCAAAATAAACCCTTTTATGTTCTCAAAGACGAGGATGCTGATTTTCCTGAAATCATAAAGAAAAAAATCTTGGAGGATATTCATTTACTGAACTCTCTCTCGAACACATACATAGTAAACTAAAAATGTTTAATTGTTGTTATAATTTTCTGTTTACAAATTATTATAGTTTATTATTGTTATAAAATTTGAAAGTAAAAATCAAAAATTTCAGTTTTATTTGATAAATTTTGTAAACATGCATTTTGTAGATATTCTAATTGTCTTCGAGAACCATTTATTGTCTTAGATAATGTTAACCTTCAGTAGAGTAACTCATTGCACTTTCTTGGTTTAATATTTTTTACTGTTATGAATTTAAACAATTATATCAATTATATATATTCTTCTTTGGGCTAAGTCTGCTGCTAGGAAAGTTGGTCCACCATGTGGTGCCAGATAATTTTTCTGGCCAAAATTTATCTTGCACCTTTATAAGTCTACCGTTCATTTGTGAATTGAATACTGTTGCCACATCTGTTCTGGTGTTTCTGCTATGTCTCTAGTTTAGAGTTTGCTGGCCACTATGGGCAAGAGAAATCATCTCATCCATACTCTTATGGCATCTTTCTGGAAGTGTCTTGTCATGAAAATTGACTTTCCCAAACACCATAGCTCAGGATTGAGGATTGGACATTGGGGATCTGGGGGACAGCAATACAGAGCCAAACAGTGTGGAAAGGGATTGTCAGTGGAGTTCCAACCAACCATTGGGAGGTTTGGTTTGGTTTATGACATGAACCTCAATGGGTTATTTAATGCTGATAAAATTTTTATTCATGGTAATATTGTTTTTTCCAAAAATGATATTGCTGGAAATATTTTGTTTTTTCCAAAAAAGATATTGCTGGAAATATTTTGTTTTTTCCAAAAAAGATATTGCTGGAAATATTTTGTTTTTTTCAAAAAAGATATTGCTGGAAATATTTTGTTTTTTTCAAAAAAGATATTGCTGGAAATATTTTGTTTTTTTCAAAAAAGATATTGCTGGAAATATTTTGTTTTTTTCAAAAAAGTATTGCTGGTATTAAAACCTATTTTTATACTTTCATAATGTTTTGACCCCAGTTTTTGGGTTAACTATTTGCCCATTTACTGGGTCAGGGTAGACCTGGGAACACCAGCAATTAAGCAGTGGTTCCATGCTCCTCAAAACCTCCTGATCAGAGGCCATGCTGTCAGATGTAGTTTGTCTTAGCCAGGACACCCATAGAGAGGTCGAAGGATGATGATTATGTTTCTAGAAATTCTCGACAACATCCAAAAAGAATCTGTAATCTTATCAGTCCTGACCTAGCATCTTGGCTTCAATTACTTTCCCACTGCTGTAATGAAGCTCCACTGTGCCTTTTCTATAAATATTTTCATGGCAATTGTTCTGATGAGCTCTCCTCTTTGGTAGATTGACTTCATGAATTTAAATGCAGTACTAGATTGGCAATTAGGTCTCATCATTTCACTGTTGAAATTGATTGATGCCATTAAGTTCTATTCTAATAGTTTTCTTCTATCACCCTTCTTGGCAGTGTTTTTATTATTTATATTGTCTTTTCTCCTCAGTGAAGGTTTCTCAGTTTCTTTCACTCTCAGTAACCCCTTGCATCTTAGTGGTGGCTGATCCAAGGCAGATTTGCTGACCCATATATAAATAATTTTTTTTTTTTTTTTATACAAGCATTATAGTTTATACATAATTTTACAAAAATGAAATTATCAAACTCTTTATAAACTTGTAGAGATAAAAATATAGATTAAATAGGAACACACAAAATTAACCAGGATAGACTTTGAATGTCTGAAAACACTGCTTGGAAGAAACCCATATGTAATTAAAAGATTAGAAATATGATTGATTTTAATATTTAAATGTTCTGAAGTTGATGTAAATAAACATTGAAATTTAATAATTTGCATCAGATAGCAATTACCTTAGCCCAGAATCCTCTTTAGGAATTAGAGAATCTGATCACAAACAATTTATGTAAGCTAGTTTTAACCTGTGAAAATTTCACTATTTTCCTATTTGAAATTTCTGATGGATCTTAATTCTTCAGTTAATGACTGAATAAGCTCATGGCAAGTTCTATAACAATAAAATATCTGTAGAAATTCCCCGATCACATTGTTAAATATTTGAGCTTTAACAAAATATTGCAATAACAACTATAAATATGAAGGGCATTATTTTAAGTAGTAAGGAGGTACAAATGAAAATATTTGTAATTGACAACTTTTTTCCATTTCACTGAATTAGATGTTAAACACATCTATCTTCCTTCCTTTCTTTCATTTTCTCATTGAAACCAAGTAGTGTTTGATATGTCTTTTGTCTTCTCATGGGACCAAATTGGAATAGGCCATTATTTATAGGGTATTAGCAAGAGACATTAAACACTTCTAGCTTTTTTTTTTTTTTTTACTGAAACCAAGTAGCCTCTCTGATATGTTGTTTGTCTTTCCATACAGTGAAAACAAAATATTTATGAGGTATTGGCAGGGCGTAGTGGTCATGGGTATTAACAAAGGGAAAAACACAATTATAATACAGTGTAACCCAGATATAAGAGAGTTGTCGAGACTGGAGAAGAAGTCTCTTATATCTGAGTTTCTCTTATATCCGGGTTTGGTCTATTTTGTTTAGGTAAGTATGGGAACACCTCATATAACGCTTTTTATATACAGAAAACTAGTTTATTTAACAGTTATAGACATAAAAAACAAAGATAAAAATACATTATCAATCAGTTTTCAAAATAATTCAATCAAAAATTACTTTTTCTTAAAAAAGTCAGTTATTTTTTATTGTACAGAAATCTCTTTGTTAACATCATGAACACTTTCATACAGTCCGTAAATCATTTTCAATGCACCATCAGGATTACTGCTTTTTGCTTCAAAGTAGGCTGTCAGAGTTTCAAGCGCATTCAATGCAGCCAGAGAATTTGGCACTGGTTTGTCACTTTCAGAAACTTCAGAACTTATGCTTTCAGCATCATCATCTTCGTCAAAATCTTGATCATCCGATTTTATACCACGTGTGATGTCCGTGTCAGTCAGTTCTCCATAACATTGTGTACGGTCGTCGAAGCTGATAAATTCGTCAAAATCTGTTTGCCGTGGTTTTGCCGACTTACCAACAACTACAGCTTGCTTTTCACTGCCGTCCATGTTTGTGAACTGAAGCATCGTGAGTCTGTCTTTGGGAACTTTTGTCCCATTTGACTGTTTGTCGCTGGCAAATCGCAAAGATCCAGACGGCATGGCTTTGTAGAAAATTTCCATTTCATCACAGTTCCAAACATCTTTCGGATCATATCCACGAAAAAGTCGCGGCAAAATGTTTGTCACCCATTCGTTGGCAGAACCATGATCTGCTGATGTTGATTCGCCGTGAAATTTTTTGAACGAAACGTTATTGGCCTGCTTCCAGCGCATGAGCCAGCCATTACTTGGTTCAAAATCAACTTCAAGATTTACGGCCAGTTGTAATGCTTTCTGCCTGATGACGTGATCGGTGACGGTAGCTCCATGAGCACATGCTTGCGTAAACCATTGTGTAAGCGCTTTGTTAACGTCCTTGTGCACAAATTGGCGCTTTCGTTTGGGATTAGTGTTTCCGTTCATTTGCATGCAAGATCTGAGATCGTCTTCTTTCTTGAGAATTTTTGCTGCTGTTGAATAACAGATTCCATACTTTCTGGCTGCAGCGGCCAGTTTGAGTTTCTTCACTTTGACATCGTCAATGAGCTCCAACTGTTCAGAAATGCTCAGAGTTTTTCGTTGAGACGCCGACATCACTAATCGCAATGATCGCAAGCAAACGGCTTTCAATGGCAAAATTAACAAACAGACAAACTTCTGACTCAACAGAACAGTGGGTAAAGTGAAAGTGCTGTCCAGTAAATGCAACGACAAGCAAAGTCAGCAAAAAAAGCGGGGCGCTACCCTTAGACACACAAAGCAAAATCATAAGGTAGAGGGTGTCTCCTACAGACACAGATTGGACACACCGTGTCTCTAGACTAGTCAAGATTAAGTCATTGAACTTCACTCTCTAACTGACCTCTGTTTGACCGATTTACGACATCACACTGTCACTCAAAACGAACTCTCTTATATCGGGGAGGACGGGACCAGAGAAAATCTCTCTTATATCCGGGTTACACTGTAGGATGTTAACACAAATGAGGATAAAATAAATTCTTACTTCAATAAGTACATGATAGAAACTTTCTGTCTTTTTTGCTCTAAGTAACTCTTTTCTCTTTACTACCCCTCCTTGTCCTTGTTTTACACCCATTTACTATTTCCATGTCTGGTTCTTAGGCTGTTAATGTGTCTTGTGGTGTGTTAAATTCTCCAAACCTTCTTTTCTTATGCATCCCAGGAACTTCAACTGTCTCTGATTGGTAGAGGTTTCCTTGTAGTTCCTATTCTCCTTAAAATGCAGTCATTACTCACACACACTGTCCATAGCATTTTCTGCATTTGTCGGTAAAATTACAAATGTCACTTCA